CTAAGCCCAGGCTCATCACTAGTCACAGTCCGACTCTACAATCTCCTTTGAATCTGTCAAGCAGACACAGACATCAAAATAGAAAAAGAAGCTTAGCAGAGGGTATAACCTGCAACCTTGCCTTTCTCACTCGTTACCCCAGAGGAACCCTTAAAATAATTGATCAGGTCTCGGCGAACCCCTGCTAAAACTAAATCAGGGATCAGTGGGATAAATGCGGCTGACATTGGTGGTCAGCGGGAAAACTACCTCCTCTTACAGGGGTCAGAATGGCACAGACAGATAAAAAGATCATTGCTGTCATGCTGCCGCAACTATGCAGGTACCATTGGATGAGAGGCCAATCAGCCACACATCAAGGGACCCCTAATAACTTCTGCAGGAACCCTGGTTGAAAATGGCTGCCCATACACTGCTTGAGTTTCAGCCAAGTCCTGCTGACTATTCAATTGACTTTTGTTCAAGAAGCTGGGTGGGAAATTGTTGGTCGAGCGGTGACCACGGTCAATCAGCTCCGTGCAGTGTACACACAGTCCATTCATGGCATCTCTAAGGTGTCTTGAATGAGCCGAATGCAGAAGAGGATGTAACTCCTATGTGCAGGAATGATATCATCAGTGGCCACCCAATGAAGACACACAGGGAACAGTAGAAGACCCTGGGGCGGTAGAAATGCAGCAGCAGGGGACAGAGCGGGGGATGAAGATTCATGACACAACGCTGGAGAAGGGAACATTTGTAAGATACGTGTGTCATAATATACAAGCAGGGCTGTAGCTACCATGGGGCGAGTGAGGCACAGCTCAGAGGGGGCGCAGCCAGGGCTGGGTTGGCTGTGCCCCCTCGCCCCTGTTGCCATGGCGAGCACAGGGCACCATTAGCAACAGGGGCACCCGGCGGCCAACACAGCCTCGGCTCAGCAGGGAGAAGAGGAGCGGTACAGGCTCCAGCTTCTCCTCTGTTCCCCGCTGCTCTCCCCCACCTCTATTGGCAGAGGACTCCGTGACCTCAATCTCTTTTTCTATTTCAAAAGGGAAATGTCAGGGGTCTGTTTAGACCCCTGATATTTCCCTGAAGGCCCCCCCCTCCCCCAACAGTAGAAATAAATAATAAAAATTAATTAAAAAAAACAAAATCACACACACACACGCAAAGACTGAAAATTTGTTTTTTCGGACGAATTTAATAAAAACTAAAAATGTTTTCATTAGTTTCGTCAAACGAAACAAATTTTTATATTTTTATGCTATTTTGGATTTGGTCACCAGCGCATTCTGTGCATGCGCGCCGCCATTCTGGAGTAGAGGCGCATGACGTCACATAGCACGCGTCTGTTGGGGGGGGGGCACAATTTTCCGTTCTTGCCTTGGGCGCAAAAGGAGCTAGCTACGGCTCTGTATACAAGTGTGCTGTGCATGCTTGCACATTATAGCAAAACCGACTTACAATAGATGCTGCTTCCTGATGTTTAAAAGTTTTAGTTTCCTGCAGAAGCAGCTTGTGTTCTGAGAACTGACCCTGATATCCTGTTTTAGAGTGGCTCCTTTCTCTTGCAGGGTCCTATGGAGACACCCTTGTTTGTGCTAGTAGGCTGTGTGTCTTCACAAACACACAGACACAGCAAGGCATGGCACTCCCCTTCCCACTTCTCCATGCCAGTAGACTGACAGCTGCTGGAGACTTTGCTGTCCCTTGCAATGTTGTACTGGATAGGGAGTCCAGGGAAGCTGAGATGAGAGAGTTGGAGCTGTTTGGAAACATGATGACTGTGTTTGGGCAAAAATGTGAAGAAATAGTTTGCTTGGCAATGTATATTTGTTTGATATGGAATCATTACTGAAAGACGCTAATTGGTTGCCATTGGCACCACCCCAGATTCTGTCTGCTCCAGTTTTCATAAATCCCCCCCTAATGGACACACCCTTGCCATGCCCCTAGTTGTACAGGCCACATAGGAAGGTATATGCCAAAAATAATTGGTTGAGTTTTTTTTCCCTATCACTTTTCCTTTAGGCCTCATTCACACAGTTAAATGTCGGCCCGTACAGATCCGTGTGGTGTGCACGGCCATATCGGGAAGGACAGGTTCTGCGTGTGATTGTACACGGCAGCCTGTTCTTCTCTATGGAAGTACGCGGCCATACGCACACCCGAGCTGCACGGGTGTCCGTACTCATACACAAACAGGATGGATCCTGTCTGCGTCCGAGCAGTTCAGGTGAGCGTACGGCAGCGTACTCCTATAGAGAAAAGGCTGCTGCGTACAATCACACGCAGAACCTGTCTTTCCCTGGAGCGGCCTGATATGGTCGTGCACGCCACACGGATCTGTACGGGCCGACACTTAACTGTGTGAATGAGGGCTTATATTGTTTTTTCTAAATAGCAAACAAGATAATTAGGAGATAAGATAAAGGTATTAGTGCACAATCACTTTTTTAGTAGTTGACACTAAACTCAGAGTTAGGCCTGTCTCACACCTAGGCGTTTTTGAGCAGTAGGAAAAGCGCCTTTAAATGCTCAAGACAAGAAATCCCATGATTTGCAGTGGCTCCTGAGCAGCAAAACGCCAAAACACAAAAAATGTACATGAACAAACGCATGTTGTACATTTTTGCGCTCATTTTTGCGTGTTTGGACATGCGTTCGACCATTGACTGCAATGTTTCTCAAGTTGCAAGTCAAAACGCGTGTCTTCATGTGCAAATACCGGCACGCTAAACCCTCGCATACATGTGCGCAAAAACGATGTTGCCTTGGTGTGAACCAGGCTGTCAGGAAGCCCATACGAAGGTAATTGCGCCTGCGCACGCCATGGCCCACAGTGCCAGGGCGGGCCGTTCACCTCTGTTCCGGGTATGCGCAACTCCGAAGTATTGTGGCGCCAAACGGGCTATTTAAGCCCAGCCTCTCCATGCCTCTAGTGCTGAGTACTATATAT